TAATGTTTAATTTGAATCTCTTTTGTTTTAATTTGAATCAATTGATTCTCATTCTATGGAGCAGCAGAAAACATCTTTTGAGATATTCAAAGATACCCATCGTGCCACCTTTCAGTCTTCTTTTCCGAAGGTTAAACATTCCCAGTCTATAAGTCATTCCTGATAAGGCTTGCTGTGTGGACTTTTGATCATCTTGGTGATATTGCAACGGAAACAACTATGTCTGGTTCTGTCATTGCTCTTCTGCACATGACACCTGCTTAACCTGTTTACTTAAAAATTATAATACTGTCAATCTCCAGGGCTCAGGAGCCCCCAGTATGTATTTCTACAATCATAAGTAGAGATCACCACTCATTTCTTTGATATCATGTTATCTTTTTAATCTAACAAGTGTGGTTTCTTCGTTATTCCATCTGTGCACTAATTTTAAGCAGGAATGCTTTGCAAAAACCAACAGTTAGAACTATACTTTTGAAGTGGCACGTAGTTTTCCATCAGGACTGACTTTTCAGTGACCTAAGTAAGGCTTCTAATTAGTCATAAAGCTTTAATTTAGCATGATATTGAGTCTCTGTCTCCCCTCCTTTTTTGCTCTTAGTGGGGAATACATTTTATTTTAATTGCCTTTTGTATTACAACCTGTGACCGACTCAAGCAGTGAAGCAACTTGGCTGCAAGTTCAAACAATATCTAAAACCACTAAGGGTCTTTTAAAGATGGATTATGAAGTAAAAAAAAATCCACCTGAAATGAAGCTGGAGAGATTTGTTTGCTTTCCAACAAAGGGAACAGTTAACCATTGCAGGAACTGAATCTATAAGTGGGTAAACCTCAGTCTCATTCCAAAAGCATATTGCAAGTTATTAGTTCAGACCTCTGACAAGAATAATTGGTTCTTCCCTCCGCAGCCAGTCAGACAGGGTGGAGGAGAAAGGAGAATAGGGGAATTAAACTGTGACTAAGAGAATGAGAAGGAGAGAGAAAGAAAAGGAAAATTAGGGGTGTTAGAGAGAGAGATGAAGGCTGAAAGGGGGGAATGTGGAAACAAACAGAAAGAGAAAGCATACTATTAGAAAGAGGACATAAAGCAGGTAGCAGAAAGCGGAAGAGAGGGGAAAGGATGCATAAAGTAAGAATAGACAGAAAGAGAGAAATGTCGGTGACAGAGCAAGGGATGAAAGGAAGGGGGAGAATAGGATATAGGTGTTTGAGAAAGGGTAGGTGACTGAAACAAAGAACAGGATAATAGAAAAAGTGAGGAAATATAAGGGAAAGGGGGTAGCAGAAAAAGACCAAAAGAAAAGGGATGTTTTAGAAAGAGTGAGGATGAGAGGAATGAAGTTGCAGAAAGAGCTGCATTTGTTGCTGGCCTTGGACATGGATGGTATCTGCCCTGCATGCTCCAAGTGTGCATCTCCTGACATCTTATCCCAGGCAAGAATGACTCACAGCAGGAGAAAAGCTCAGTGCATCCCCTTTAAGCAAAGGAAGGAAGGAACTCTTGCAGACAAGTGCAATGAATACCATTTGAAATGCTTTATGCCAAGTTCAACTACACCTGGATGGCCTTGGGCTTTCTGAAGACTTCAGAGAAATTGTTTCTTCAACCAGGAGGAACGTGGGAAAAGTGAGCATGGAACATATTTGAGTAAGAAAATGTGCTGGTTTTCTGATTATAGCGTCCATTCCTCAGTTTCATCTTTTGTCCTGAAAATGGAGATACGCTCCTTCTCTCCCTTTCTCTGGAGATTGGTTCTATCTCCAAATATACTTGTTAGATCACTACTATGGCTAAAAATAGGAATTGGATTTAACTTTCCCTTTAAAACATTCCTAACCCTTTTGGTTTTAAGACTTAAAACTCCAGTAGTTAAGATTGTGCCTCTGCTGGTGTCAGAACAGGGTACCCAAAACATCCAGAAGCTTGCATGGTGCTCTCTGGCCAGTTAGGAGAAGTGATGGTGGCAACACAGGTGTGATCCATCTTATTTTCTCTGCTCTGATGAACTCAGTGAAAGAGTGATGGTGGCGGTCTTCTGGACAGTGAACCAGTTCAAATCAAACCTAATTCAACAGTCCATACCATCTGGAACAACAGAGTTTCCAGCAAACTCTGCAGCATCCCGCAACTTTGCCATTTTAACCCAGAATAACTGTTGATGTTTACTGAAAATTCTCAAATATTGTGAGTACAGCCAGGAGCCAATTCAGGATGAGTCTGGTTTTTCATGCCCTTGTAGACTTGCCCTGGAAAGGTGCTGCTGGATAGAGTAGACGCATCTGGGATAATGACCTAGCCCTCATGGCTTCTTGTGTTGTATAGAAATAATGGTCTGTAGTGATTTGCTAGTATTTCTGCTTTAGCCAGTTTGACCAGGAAAATTTAGTGTTCTGCTTGTGTTGTATTTTCATCAGGAAGACTGATTTAAACTGTTGAGTGTAAGACTTGAAGCTAATCTTATTTTGCGTGTGCATTATGTTTTGATGCTTTTATCTCTTCTTTTGGGTAGCTCAAGGTGGATCACCCAAGGGGCCTCCTATCCAGACAGTAGCTGGGCTGAAATCAACATAGGTTTAATAATGCACCAGCAGTCTATACCCCCAGACAATAAAAGAATAAGAAATTTTGCTCTATCGTACAGTGGAAAATATGCACCGACCTGACCCTGTGTTTTTATCATATATATTTCTTTATTTGCAAAGTGCCTAAAGGTATGCTAGCATATTACCAGCATTGTAAATTACAGATTTAGAGCCCACCCTGATGGATTTATATTTCTGTGTGTGTTTTCCAACCTGACAAGGAAGGAGACAGTTCTGCTGGTGTTTCATCCCCATGTCTCCAGCAAGCATATACGTGCCTTGGTGAGGATAATAAAAGTTCAGAACATCTTTGGGACAAAATGTGGGCGTAATTTAAAAGGAAAGCAACAATGCCTATAAACAATGAAGCTTTAGACTGTAAAGCATTTGTTGATTACACGTGGCTTAACATGCTGAAACTCTTCTGGCTGCCATAAATAAAACTCAGCTTTTCGGTATGAATCACAAGGCATGCCAATTCCATCCTTCTATACAAACACCAGTGCCCCCTATTCTTGGTTGCAATAATGTCATTCTATTCAGGGGTAGAAAGTATGATATCCTTCTATTCAGGACCTTTGAATGTCATTGGACTCTTTTATCAGCATCATATCAGCATTATGGTGGTGGAGGAGGGCTCTTCATAGCATTATAGAAACCCAACTATGATCATCTTTGGTTTTAGAGTTTCTGGCTAAACTCTTTCCTAACTTTGTCTTGAAACCCCCAGGCTCTTATTCAAGTTTGTGTGTGTGTGTCAAAAACATTGCATAAATAAACAAGTATAAAACTGATGAAATAGATGGAACACAAGCAGCTAAATAATTGTAGACCAAAAACGAGCAACAGTGACCGCATTGTCTGTAGTTTTAAGTAGTTCTTCCTCTGTGCATGAGGCAGGGCATTGTGGGTAAGCATACAGATGCTGAGCTGTTTGTTCTGCTCCACAGTCACACATGTGGAGGATTCTTCTAGGTAGTTGCATTTAGCCAGGTTGTCTTGTGTTGTTAGGCCAAGGTCATCAGCATATATAAAGCTCTTTGTGAGTGGTGACTGAGGCTGATCTCTAAAGGTCGGTGCAAGAACACTGCCTTGTTCTTCAAGTACTAACTTCAAGTACTAACTTGCTTGGGTTTCAAACATAGCCAAGATCACGTATCTCGGGGGTGGTAGCATCAAGCAATATCTGGCTGTTAATAGATCCCCTACACTTGTTCTGTTTTGATACACATATTTCACCACGAGCGACTACCTCTCTCAGGAAATAGGACAATATTTGTTGGCTCTTTGCCTGTGCAAATTCAGTTTTAGCTCCTTCTGGGACTGAGTGCTTAGCTTCCAATTACAGCCAATGAACCTTTTTGTATATATTGAACCCTTTTGGAAAGTCAATGGCCCTTATCATATTAAAAGATGTGTCCCTATAAAGGGAAGCCCTTGCCAAATTTATGCAGATTTGCAAACTGTTCCAGTTCTTGGGATTTTCAGATCTGGTCGTAGTAAAATATGTCTTAGCTGTACCATGTCCAGATTCCTGCAGTGTGCTCTGTGTCTGGAAAATGCCTTTGCTTCAGAACGTAGCAGTGAGATTATTAATTTTAGCTGCTTTGTTAGGAGCATTTAGCTCTCTTACTGAAACAGCCCTCATTTCAACAGCATAGCTGTTATATCTTCATGTGTGAATCTGTTAGAAAATACAATTTTTAGTCACACACACCAGCAAAGTATGAGGTGATAGGTTGTTGTAGGTTTTTCGGGCTGTATGGCCATGTTTTAGAAGCATTCTCTTCTGACGTTTTGCCTTCATCAGTGGCAGGCATCCTCAGAGGTTGTGATGCTTGCTACAGATGCAGGTGAAAAGTCAGGAGAGAATGCTTCTAGAACATGGCCATACAGCCCGAAAAACCTACAGCAACCCAGTGATTCTGGCCATGAAAGCCTTCAACGATACATATGAGGTGATAGCGTGTGCTTGTGAGCCAGAGCAATTTAGTACCTTGAGCTTTGAATTACAACTCTTGAGACCAAGATGCAAATCCCTACATAATATCATTTAAACTCCCTGGTGACTTTGGACGAGTCACACTCTTTCAGCTTTAGAGGAACGCATAGACAAACCCTTTCTGAACATATTTTGCTAAGAAAACCATATGATAGTTTCACCTTAGCATTGCCATAAACTGGAATTGACTTTTTGGCACTTCAACAGTAGCAGCAACAACAATTCAGTATGCCAATTGTGGAAGTAACATAGATAGATGACCGGAATATTATATGTGCTATGTCTATTTGCAACTAAGCATATTTAAAAAGGACTTGGTTACTAACTATATTCTGGAATTCACAGCAGCTTTATTGGTAAGATATAGTAACTTGACTCTTAGTTGACCTACATTTTCTTTTCTTGATTTCAGCTTGCCAGAAGTCTTGTGCCACTTGCTGGGGCCCATCAGCAAACAACTGTTACTCTTGCAAAGACCCATCTCATGTAATGTTGGAAGGTCTCTGTGTTGCTAGTTGTGGGCAGGGCTTCTACCTCAACGATGGCATTTGCAAAGGTAAACACTTCAAAGGATATGTTTCTCAGGCAATCATGTGGGTAGTAGATCTCCAGTTTTCGCAGTTCATCTTCAGGCATGAAATAAAAACTCAGATTTCCCAGTTTTGCTGTATTTGTTTCTGGACAAGTGCAAAAGACTCGGTGCACATCTCCACCTAAACTTGTGAAAAGTGGTAAGATTTAACTGATTTCTTGCTTAAACTCACAAATACTCATCACAGAGTCTATGCATTTACTGGTGTTTTCCTTCTGCCTTCACAATCATTGTGATGCCAAATATGACCCTCGATTCTTCATCCACCTTACGGCTAAAAACAAACTGCTGTTGTTAAATGCCTACAAGTGAACTTTGTTTTATGGTGACGCTATGAACGAGAGACCTCCAACTTAACCTATCATTAACACTCTGCCTCAGACAAAGACTCAAGGCCATGGCTTCCCTGATAAAATCTATCCATCTGGAATTTGGTTTTTTCCTGTTACCCTCCACTTTGCCAAACATTATTGTAATTCTTCTCATGAAATGCCGAAAGTCCGATAGCCACCGTTTTGTTATTCTAGCTTTCTATGGAGAGTTCACACTTGGTTTACTATAGGACCCAGGCCATTCAGGACAATTTTATACCTCCCTGCTACTTACAGATACTAATTCAGCTACAACCTACAATGTCGCAAAGTTCTGTGCAGCAGCATACAAAATCCGCCAGGGAATGACTAGTTCCAAAAGTCAGCTGTGTGTCCAGTAATCTTCTTCCCTGAATCTACAATTTGGTGATGGATCTGGGCATTGTATGTTTTTACCCTGTTTCCCCTTCTGCTCCCTCACCCATATTGTGTTTTTAGTAGTTATATTTATATTTTCAATGTACCAAACATGCCAGGTTTGTATGGAAATGTGACACTATTTCCTGTGCTGGTCAATGACCGAAATAAATATTTTGATTTGATTTGACTATAGGACCCAAATGAGTTGATTCTCTCCCTGTCATCCATCTTCAGAGTCCAGCTTTCACAACTCTGCATGGAAAAGGGAAATGTGATGGCATGGACCATCCTAACTTTAGTATTTAGTGATATCTTAACACTTAGCAAGACATCACTTAGCAAAGAGGCTAGATTAAATGTTCCTTATCCCCTCTCCCCAAGTGAGTGAGAAGGAATAATCCCCTCATTTCACTTTGAAATGGGAACATATGTTCTCTTTCACTCACTCTTTCTGTATTTTTAAATGACAAGATGTGAGCAACTGAAGTTGGTATTTCATGCATAGATGATGACGTCTTTAGAACTGTCCTTAGGTCTCAGATTTTGAGCCTGAAATATTAGTGCTTGGGATGGTACAGGGATATTTCACTTAACAAAACTGCCAAGAAAAAAAAGCTAATTTGAACAAAGTCTTACTCCTGTCCAGCTTTCTTTTTTCTCCCTTTCCCTTTGTTTAGCTGGAAACCTTTCAGTAGTATCTGTTGGGCAAGTGGGCTTATTCAAAAAAGACTCTCCCCATAAATGTACAGCAGGAGCAGCATGACCCAGCACCAGTAGCCCAAAGTAATAAAAAGAACAAAAACAGAGATGAATATTATCTCTTCCATAGGAAGCTTTTCTTTATAGCAAAACAATATGGTTGCACTATTTACAAAAACAATGTTTCCATAATATAAATAAAGTTCAACCTTCACACTGGAGCTCCACATACAAGGCCTTCTCATACTAAGGCCTACCTCACACTGTGAGGCCTACCTCACACTGAGGTTTCTCTCACAGACGAAGGCCTACCTCACATTGTGAGGCCTTCTCTCAGACTGAGACCTTTCTCCCACTGAGGTTTAGCTCAGACTGATGCCAACTAAGCTACAGACACACTTGCTTATGTAGAACTCCAGCTTTTGCTGAGCCATTGCATTCATTTAACCCTCTCGTTGCTTGACTCACATTTTTGTAATGCCTAGTTAATGTTTAATGTTTCTGGCAGTATCAGCACTGGAAGGACGGTGAAAGAGAATTGAAGTAACACAGGCTTCCAGTATCAGATTCTAGAAGTTTGTCTGCAGTCAATCATGCCGTAACCTTCAGAGCAGAATCCAGTATCTCCCAGTTCAAGCTATATTGCATTGTTTACTATGGAAACTATGGAAACGTGGCATCCCAGACATTGCTGTTTGCATTTTTCTGTGGAAATCGTGCAGGCATCAAAAGACTTTGTGGAAAGGAGCTCATTTGTCTTATTTATTTATTTAGAACTTTTATATACCGGTCTTCTCAACCTCCGCAGAGGGACTCAGTCTGATTCACAACAAAATATTCATAAACAAAGGTTTAAAACATCACATCTCATAATACACTAACACATTAAAAATACAATCATATAATTACACAAGGCCAAGTCGTCAGAATGAAGTCACAATTCATCGCCATCCATCCATGTGGTCAGGAGTTATTGACTCACTCATCAAATGCCAAATTCCAGAGCCAAGTTTTCACCAGTTTTCTAAAAGTCAGGAGAGAAGGGGCAGTTCTAATCTCCAGTGGGAGAGAGTTCCAGAGCCGAGGGGCCACCACCAAGAAAGCCCTGTCCCTCGTCCCCACCAGACGCGATTGCAAGGGTGGGGACTGAAGCATGCCTATATTACCAGTCATTAACATCTTGGCAAAGTTATCACTTGGACTACATATCCCAGAATCTCACAGCCATATGGGCTGGAAAATTCTGGGAACTGTAGTCCAGAAAGGTTTTTTTCTCCAAGCTTTCCTCCATTATGGTTATGGGATGAGTCCTAAGAAGACTTCAGAGGTCTGGATTTGAAAGGCCTTTTGGAGGTTTAACTACTGAAGGTTGCTGATTAAATATTACTTCAATGGACTCGCCACTGTATTCAGTATACAATATGGCTAAATTCCACTAAAGGATGCCATGCCATAAACGTTTACAACAGTCTCTTACTTTTTCCATCTGCCTCAGGGCTAGGCAGTTTTCTTGCAGTTAATAGATACCCCTTTTTGGAAATCCATGTTTGGGCAAATGGCTTGGGCAAACTTAATAATGGGTGTAAGAGCTGATTTACCAGCTGAGGACAGACAGACCTTCTAGCATGTCTATTTGGCACTAAATGCAGCTCCTTCTTAAAGACAGCTGGGCTGTTCGAAATAATCAGATGTTGAAAGATGGGAGGTTCTCCTTCTTGCTGAGCCGCAATAAAAGTATTAATGAAATTATTTTGGGGCTTCACAAATCGCCTGCTTTGTGGGAAAACACAGTCTTTGTCAAGAGTTAATTTCCATTTGTGAAATATTTAAGCAGCATGGTGACTGCAGATTGCTCCTTATATCAAAATAAAACAAGAAAATGGAAGGTAAACATGGAAAGGGAGCAAAGAAGAGGGAGTTTAGGAGGAAAATACAAAGATTAGAAAAGCGCTCATTTTGTATATGCATATTACAGTTTGGTTTTTGGCACCATAGCAAATATTTTAAGGCTCCATATTGCTAACTGATGTAGGCAGTGGGCCAAAGACAGGGACGATTTTTTGCCCATTGGCTACAGTTGATTCCCTCCACTTCTGGAAACTTACCAAGGACTAACAGTTGTCCAAGGACCACCATTTGGAACAAGACTACAATAAGTGTGGGTTTTTTGGCAGAAGGATATACGCTGAAGTTATTTCTCAGTGGAGAACCATAGAATCATAGAGTTGGAAGAGACCTCGTGGGCTATCCAGTCCAACCCCCTGTCAGGAAGCAGGAAAACTGCATTCAAAGCACCCCCAACAGATGGCCATCCCGCCTCTGTTTAAAAGCCTCCAAAGAAGGAGCCTCCATCACACTCTGGGGCAGAGAGTTCCACTGCTGAACAGCTCACACAGTTAGGAAGTTCTTCCTCATGATCAAATGGAATCTCCTTTCCTGCAATTTGAATCCATTGCTCTGCATCCTAGTTTCCAGGGCAGAAGAAAACAAGCTTGTTCCCTCCTCCCTATGATTTTCCTCACATATTTATACATGGTCTTCCCTCAGCCTTCTCTTCTGCAGGCTAAACATGCCCACCTCTTTAAGCTGCTCCTCATAGGGCTTGTTCTCCAGACCCTTGATCATTTTAGTCGCCATCCTCTGGACACATTCCAGCTTGTCAACATCTCCCTTCAATTGTGGTGCTCAGAATTGGACACAGTATTCCAGGTATGATCTGACCAAGGCAGAATAGAAGGGTAGCATGATTTTTCTTGGAATATCTATAGCAATGGTTCTCAACCTGGGGTCCCCAGATGTTTTTGGCCTTCAACCCCCAGAAATCCTAACAGCTGGTAAACTGGTTGGGATATCTGGGAGTTGTAGGCCAAAAACATCTGGGGACCCCAGGTTGAGAACCACTGATCTATAGGAAAGGAAGGTGCTTTGGCAATGGGCCCTCCAAATCTTTGGCTTAAGATTTGGAGGACCCATTGCCAAAGTGCTTTATATAATCCCATGACTCTGGGTGCATCTATATTGAAGAATTAATGTAGTTTGACACCACTTTAACTGCCATGACTCAATACAATAGAACCATGGAAGTTATAGCTTGGTGAAGCACCAACTATAATCTTATAAAATTATAATTCCCAGGATTCCATATCATTGAGCCATGGCAGTTAAAGTGGTGCCAAACTGCATTAATTTAATGATGCAGATGTGCCCTAAGTGACTATGTAGGTATGCAATTCTGACCATGGACTCTTCTTCTTTGGAGGCCTTTAAACAGAGTTCAGATTGGCATCTTACAGGAGTGCTTTTCTTGTGTATTTCTGCATGATGTATTGTTAGAGTAAATCAGTGATTCCCAAATTCTGGTCATCCAGAAAAGGCCAAAACACTTGGAGGATCAGAACTGGAGAATCACTGGACCTTCCAACTGTAAAATGTCATAAATTTATGAATTCCTCTTTTTCTCCCACATTAATACTTATTCATAGCTTTAATGTTTGGCTACAAGCCACCATTCAAAATTTCATACACTTTCGCGCACTCCTTGTCATAGAGTTACTTTGTGACATTTATTTATTTCCACATTTCTGCCATTCCCTCTGTCTTGAGATCTTAAGGATGGCACACAGTTGAAACAAACATTTTAAAGCAATTCCAGATGAAAACACAATACCATAAATAGGATCATTATATAAATTGCCAGGTGAAGAAGGGTTTCTTTCCCTGCTGTGGCAATCCATTTGTGAAGCCCAAAATTAATTCCATTAAAAAGAAAAAGGCTGAAACAATTAAAATCGCATGCATGCATATTTCAAGAAGTAATAATATTAGATCTCAGTTTGTGAGCAAGCATATGTAGGATGAGGTATTCCTTCAGATATTGAAATCCCAAGGCATTTAGGGCTTTGAGTGTCATTATTAGTATCTTGTTGACAAGCTGGAATGTGTCCAGAGGAGGGCGACTAAAATGATCAAGGGTCTGGAAAACAAGCCCTATGAGGAGCAGCTTAAAGAGCTGGGCATGTTTAGCCTGCAGAAGAGAAGGCTGAGAGAAGACCATGTATAAATATGTGAGGGGAAGTCATAGGGAAGAGGGAACAAGCTTGTTTTCTTCTGCCCTGGAGACTAGGACGCGGAGCAATGGATTCAAACTACAAGAAAGGAGATTCTATCTGAATATTAGGAAAAACTTCCTGACTGTGAAAGCTGTTCAACAGTGGAACTCTCTGCCCTGAAGTGTGGTGGAGGCTCCTTCTTTCGATGCTTTTAAACAGAGGCTGGATGGCCATCTGTCGGGGTGCTCTGAATGTGATTTTCATGCTTCTTGGTAGGGGATTGGACTGGATGGCCCACAAAGTCACTTTCAATTCTATTATTCTATGATATCAGGCTAGAAGTGGTATTATACTGAGTGTTCTTCAGTGGGAACACATATCAGCATGATGCAAGCTTTACAACAATTAGAAAAATGGTGCAGTCCAGTATGCAAACAATGTAATGCATCCAAGGCAAAGCTATGGAACATTATATTATACAGCCTCTGTGTTGTGTTTGGCTACAATATTATGATGCAATTGCTAATTGTGCATGGCTTATGAAGCTGTCATATATGGTTGTTTGGTAAGGCACCGGTCCAACCTTTTGGAAAATGCCCTCAAGTTTAAGTGCTATCTATAACTCTCATGCTGTAACAAGTTAATTTGGGCATTGACCCCCATTTGCTTGTACCAATGCAGGTGAAGCTCTTTGTGGCTGCCCTTAGGTCTTCCAAAGCAGTGGTTCTCAACCTTCCTAATGCTGTGACCCCTTAATAGAGTTACTCATGTTATGCTGACCCCCAACCATAACATTATTTTCATTGCTACTTCATAACTGTAATTTTGCTACTGTTATGAATTGTAATGTAAATATCTGATATGCAGGATGTATTTTCATTCACTGGACCAAAATTTGGCACAAATACCCGATATGCCCAAATTTGAATACTGGTGGGGTTGGAGGAAAATAGAACTTGACATTTGGGAGTTGTAGTTGCTGGGATTTACAGTTCACCTACAATCAAAGAGCATTCTGAACTCCACCAATTATGGAACTGAACCAGATTTTGCACACAGAATTCCCATGGCCAACAGAAAATACTGGAAGGGTTTGGTGGGCATTGACCTTGAGTTTTGGAGTTGTAGTTCACCTACATTCAGAGAGCACTGTGGACTCAAACAATGATGGATCTGGAGCAAACTTGGCACGGATACTCAATATGGCCAAATGTGAACAGTAGTGGAGCTTGGGGAAAAAAATACCTTGACATTTGGGAATTGTAGTTGCTGGAATTTATAGTTCACCTACAATCAAAGAGCATTCTGATCCTCACCAATTGGGCCAAACTTTCCACACAGAACCCCATGACCAACAGAAAATGCTGTGTTTTCTCATGGTCATTAGCAACACTTCTGAGACCCCCTTGCAACTCCCTTGGGGTCCCGACCCTCACGTTGAGAAACACTGTCCTAAGGAGTCTATAAAGAGCTCCCTTCTTGCCATCTTTCCATAGGATGCAAAGACTTTTGAGAAACGAAGGGATTTAAAGCAAAGGCATTGAAGAGCGTATTGTATTGTTTTAATAGTACTGTTTTTAAAATTGCCTTTTTATGTTTCAAGCTCTGTTTTTAGAGCTGTTAATAAACTGATTCCATTTCAGTGGTGCTTTGAGAGTGCTTGAATTGCATTGCATTTGTTTTAATTTGTATTGACGACAATGATAATAAATGCACTTTGTTGATGGCACCCTCTCTTTTGACAGCTTGTAATGAGACTTGTGAAACATGCTACCCAGATCAGCCCAGATGTATATCCTGTGCTTCAGGCAGACTGTTGCATAGGGGGAACTGTGTGCTGGAATGTCCTGTTGGATACTATGCAGATAATTCCCGGAAATGCAGAGGTAAGTCTCTCTCTTTTTGTGTATAGTGTCATCTTCTTATAGTGACAGCTGCAAGATTGTAAAGGGAGGCTTTGTTGGGGGAAAATTAATTTATACTTTACACTAGGTTGTTATAAACTGAGGAGGATTTTAAGGCTTTATAGCTCCATAGGATAAACAGCTGTTGAACCTGAGCTTGATTATTTTTTTAAGTTTGGAGTGGGGATGAGAGCTTTTATTCAGCCACAGAATCATGGCTTTACTTCCTACTCTTGGACCCCAACTACCATCTGCCCTAGCTAGCATGGACCACTGTCAAAGGTGATAGAAAGTAAAGTCCAATAAAACCTGGAGGCCCACCTCTTGCAGCATCCATACCAGGCATGAGCAAACTTTGTCCCTCCAGGTGTTTTGGAGTTCAACTTCCACAATTCACAACAGTCTTGGGCCCCTTCCTTTTCCCCATCAGCCACTTAAGTGGTTCAGGGGGAAAAGGAAGAGACCTGAGGCTGTTGTCTGTTTGAGGCAAGTGTGAATGTTGCAACTTGCCACCTTGATTAGCATTTAATGGCCTTGCAGCTTCAAAGCATGGCTGGTTGCTGCCTGTGGATTGCTGCCTGGAGGGAGGTGTTAGTATTTTCAGAATTTTGTGACAGATAGGCAGTAAAGACTGTAAACTTGCCCTCATATATCTTGCCTAACTTACCATTAGAAGCAACGATGAAGTATTTTGGCCACATCATGATAGGAAAGTTTAGAGAAGACAATTCTGCTGGGGAAAATAGAAGGAAAAAGGAAGAGGGCCTGACCAAGGGCAAGATGGGTGGATGATATCCTTGAAGTGAATGGCTTGACTTTGAAGGAGCTGGGGGAAGTGATGGGAGCTCTGACGTGGGCTGGTCCATGAGGTCAGGAAGAGTTGGAAGCGACTGAATGAATGAACAACAACAACAAACTTACCATACTGCACATAGTTTAGATATATTCCATTGCTCAGCCTAGACATAAAGGGGATGTATATCCCTTGTGAGTAACCTGCTTTCCCCTCCTACAATAGGATTTTCTTAGAGACGTGTGCTTCAGGAATCAGACCTGCAAATTACTTTCCAATGATGATTTGCAAAACAATGCTGCCAGTTACACACCCAAGAAAAATCATAGGCTATGACAAATGTGTCTTTTCACCACTTGAGGGAGAATCTTTTCTTAAATACTTGTCTGTTTCTAAGAACCAGTTTGAGTGGGAGAGATCTGAATTATGAATCATCCAACTTACACACTCTTTCTTTTCCTTTCTTAGTTTGCCATGATTCCTGCACCAGCTGCACTGGGCCTCTGTCCAGCCAATGCACTTCTTGTTCCTTCCCTCTTGCCTTACATCTGGGTCAATGTCTTTCTGTTTGTGGAGAGGGCTTTTATCAAGATCACAACATCTGCAAAGGTAACGCCAAACTTAATGTCTAATCGGAAGCCAACAAATGCATGAAGTTTTTGCACATTTCTTGGTAGCCTCACAAGAAATATTTCCCAGCGTTCTCTTGGTCAAGGTGACTCTTTATATTTATGTCTTTATATTGATGTCCAGTTAACTGAATCCAGAAGAATGGCTTGAGGGATGAAAATGGCAAATTATGCTAACAAGAATTCTACTATGTTAGCTGTTTCTTGGGTTTCACTGGAAGGGGGGAACATGTTTATTGTTCTACAAATGCAAAACCATTTTTTCTGGGGATCTCACAGGCTGTTTCTTGTTCTTTAGGATGCCATTCATCTTGCCGCAAATGTGTTGGCCCAGAATATCTGCATTGTACACAGTGCATGAAACCAGAGGAAGCTCTGCAGCAAGAAATGAATGTTGAGGGATTATCAGTTGGTATCTGCCAACCACAGTGCAAAGCCCAGTTCTACCTTGATTATTATGGGGTGTGCAAAGGTGAGCAAAGAGATATCCCAGGATAATGAGATGTAATAGTCATAATAATAGATGCTTTTGAACTGTGGTGTTGGAGGAAAATTTGGAGAGTGCTTTGGACCGCAAGAAGATCGAACCAGTCCATACCCTGGCAAATAATGCCTGACTGGAGGGAAGGATATTAGAGGCAAAGATGAAGTACTTTAGCCACATCATGAGAAGACAGGAAAGCTTGGAGAAGAGAATGATCCTGGGGAAAATGGAAGAAAAAAGGAAGAGGGGCTGACCAAGGGCAAGACGGATGGACATTATCTTTGAAGGAACTGGAGTGTTCATGGCTGACAGGGAGCTCTGATGTGGGTTGGTCCATGACGTCACGAAGATCTGGAAGCAACTGAACGAATAAACAACAACAGTAGTCATAAAGTGATAAAGATATCCATAGACAGAAAAGTCAATTTTCGGTCCATATATATGCATATATGTGCACATATATTCACACACACATACAATGTATATACTCGAGTATAAGCCTAGTTTTTCAGCCCCTTTTTAGGCTGAAAAACCTCCCCTCAGCTTATACTCAAGTCAAGGTTATTTATTGTTTTACTCTGTGATTAGTATTATTTTTATTGCATTTATTATTTTACTCTTATTATTATTATATTTATTATTTTACTCTAGTAATATTGGAAGATACATAAGCACATTTCTATTGAAGAAGGTTAGAATAATGGTTTAATCAGAGCTGGACAGTCATATCTTAAATTACAGTTTTATATAGATATTAAAAAACATGTAACCTACTGATGCCTGAGTTAATGTAATTTTATTGGTATCTATTTTGATTTTGAAATTTGCCAGTAGCTGCTGCATTTCCCACCCTCGGCTTATACTAGAGACAATATGTTTTCCTAGTTTTTTGGAGCAAAATTATGTGCCTCAGCTTATTATTTATTTATTATTTATTTACTTCATTTATATACCGCTTTTCTCAGCCCTTGGGCGACTCAAAGCGGTTAACAATAGCAAAATTCAATGCTCAACATCATAACAGAGGAGGGCGACTAAAATGATCAAGGTCTGGAGAACAAGCCCTATGAGGAGCGGCTTAAGGAGCTGGGCATGTTTAGCCTGAAGAAGAGAAGGCTGAGAGGAGATATGATAGCCATGTATAAATATGTGAGAGGAAGCCACAGGGAGGAGGAAGCAAGCTTGTTTTCTGCTTCCTTGGAGACTAGGACGCGGAACAATGGCTTCAAACTACAAGAGAGGAGATTCCATCTGAACATGAGGAAGAACTTCCTGACTGTGAGAGCCGTTCAGCAGTGGAACTCTCTGCCCCGGAGTGTGGTGGAGGCTCCTTCCTTTGGAAGCTTTTAAACAGAGGCTGGATGGCCATCTGTCAGGGGTGATTTGAATGCAATATTCCTGCTTCTTGGCAGGTTTGGACTGGATGGCCCATGAGGTCTCTTCCAACTCTTTGATTCTATTATTCTATAAAAAGAGTTAAAAAACAGTTTAAAACAATGATATAATAAACAATCATTTAAACATAACTATAACATCTCATTAGTGTCTCATAGGTAGAATCAAGATCCAAGCTTATATTTGGGTTGGCTTATACTTGAGTATATATATATATTAATGTGTTTGTATATATTTTCAGGTTGAGCAAATTTCTATTCTCCAGAAGTTGTTGGATTATGATTCTCATCTGGCTCAGCTCTGTACAGTCCTTGCTATAAAATTATGCTGAACATAGGGCAATGAGCATATTAATATATGACACACTTAAAAAAAAAACAACCCAAAATTTCTCAGTCTAGCTGTTGCATACAAGATTGTGTCTTTTGCTTTACAGTGTTTATTGTGACAGACGGATTACTGTCACGATAGATCTCTTTTGTTTCTTCTCCCTTCCACTTTTGCAAATTTTAATCCACAATTCTATGTTGCTTCTGCGGTCAACAGTCTATTTAAAGAATATTTAAATATGCATTTTAATAGTCCACTTTTTTCTCATAATACATGCTTTTTTAAAAATCATCTTTATTGAGATTTTTTTTCCAATTTGTGCAGATAAAGAGTAGTGCTAAAAAGAGGGAGAGAAAGAAAAAGGGAAAAAGAAAGAAAAGAAAATAATAATAATAATAATAATAAAATAAAAATAGAAAAAAGAAAATAGAAAATAAGAAGAAAAAAAGAGATAAAAAAAATAGGAGCAGATTGTTGTATCTCCTTTGTTGACTTCCTGAGTATCTTCCTGGTGGTTTTTCCTCTTCTTTCTTTCTTCTCCTCTCCTTCTTCAGTCTTGTTTTCTCTTCCCTTCATATTATTGTATGTCCATTACTTTGTTTCAGATAATTTGTTACTTTTGTCCAGTCAGTCTCTTTTATTGGGGTCCCTTTATTTTTTGTTATAAGATATGTTAACCTGTCCATATTTTTAATGTCTACCACTTTTTCTATCCAATCACTAATTTCTGGTATCTCTTCCTTTTTCCACAATTTTGCATAACATATTCTCGCTGCTGTATTTAGCAGAAAGAGGATTTTATCTGTATTTTTCTCCATTTTTTGGTCTATTATTCCTAGTAAAAATATTTCCGGTTCAAATGGGATTCTCATATTTAATATTTCCTGTTTGTTTGTCGTGTCAGAGCAACCAGTCCATTATATTACATTTCTAACAGAACAAAGCAAACAAACAGACAAATACAAAATTGTGAGTTTGGTAGTTGATTAAATGTCCTTTGACCAGTATCTGGCCACTTGGAGTGCATCTGGTGTTGCCGCAAGAAGGTCCTCCATTGTGCATGTGGCAGGGCTCAGGTTGCATTGCAGCAGGTGGTCAGTGGTTTGCTCTTCTCCACACTCGCATGTCGAGGATTCCACTTTGTAGCCTCATTTCTGAAGATTGGCTCTGCATCTCGTGGTGCCAGAGCGCAGTCTGTTCAGTGCCTTCCAAGTTGCCCAGTCTTCTGTGTGCCCAGGAGGGAGTCTCTCATTTGGTATCAGCCATTGGTTGAGGTTCTGGGTTTGAGCCTGCCACTTTTGGACTCTCGCTTGCTGAGGTGTTCCAGCGAGTGTCTCTGTAGATCTTAGAAAACTATTTCTAGATTTAAGTCGTTGAAGTGCTGGCTGATACCCAAACAGGGGATGAGCTGGAGATGTCTCTGCCTTGGTCCTTTCACTATTGGCTGCTACTTCCCGGCGGATGTCAGGTGGTGCAATACCGGCTAAGCAGTGTAATTTCTCCAGTGGTGTAGGGCGCAGACACCCCGTGATAATGCGGCATGTCTCATTAAGACCCACATCCACTGTTTTAGTGTGGGGAGATGTGTTCCACACTGGGCATGCATACTCAGCAGCAGAGTAGCACTGCGCAAGGGCAGATGTCTTCACTGTATCTGGTTGTGATCCCCAGGTTGTGCCAGTCAGCTTTCGTATGATATTGTTTCTGGCACCCACTTTTTGCTTGACGTTCAGGCAGTGCTTCTTGTAGGTAAGAGCACGGTCCAGAGTTACTCCCAGGTATTCGGGTGCGCTGCAATGCTCCAGTGGGATTCCTTCCCAGGTGATCCTGTAATGTCTTCTGTATTTTTCTCCAATATGTCCTAGCCTTAGTGCACGACCAATACATGTTTAAAGATATGTTGTGATACCTTAAAGCTGGTGCAAGCTTTATTACAGCATTTGAAAAAAAATTGTGGATAGGTAAACCAGGCACTATAGCAGAGTCATTTTGCATTGGAGTGAGCAAACATTTGAATTCCTCTAAGATCCTGCATATGTGTTAGAGCCACTTGGAGAAAGCACTGAGAGCCGGATGAGAAATTACAGTTAGGCTTGGAATTGATGCAGGGTGAGAAAAAAAGCAGCGGCACAAAAGGACTCATATATCCAGTATTCCTTTAAGGAAATAAACCATTCAGAATAGTTATAGGGATTGGCCATTTTCAAAGAAGAGATTCTGCTGACCTGGATGACTATTGTTCCCCTCCTCCAGTCATACCTAATAAATTTCCCCCAAAATGATAGGATAGTAAAAAGTTATTTTGCTCACTATATTAGTTTGTGTTGACATTTATTGGAAGGAAACCTTCTCCAAAGGTAGTTCTCAATCCTTTTGTTGCGCTCAAGGGTTTGCCATTAACAATGCCGCATCAGGTTCCCTCTCAAAAGCACCAGTTCAGCGTTTGTACCCAAAACATTCTTTACAGCAAACAAAACTGCTTATTATACAGATTTTGGGGGAGAATTCAGCATAAGAGATAAAGCTGTTGAGACAACCTACAAAGCTTTTCGCCTTTATATTGGATTCAGTTCACAGTTATTTATGAGTATGTGGGAAAAGCCTGGTCCAGCAGATTGTAGGATTGGAAATAGAAATTCACCCACCCAGCTAAACTACCATATAATATATTTTGAAACTGTATTGGGCAGTGTAGATTAATATAATGCAGTCAAGCTGATTTATAGGAATCTACACTGACCATATAATGCAGTGTCAAACCGCATTACATTTATTTATATATTTATTTATTTACAGTATTTATATTCCACTTTTCTCACCCCATGGGAGACTCAGAGCGAATTACAATGCACATATACATGGCAAACATTCAGTGCCATTAGACATATAACATCTATAGACAGACACAGAGGCAATTTAACATTCCAGCTTTTTTCCAGCTTCATGAGAGTATGCTCAATTCCATCCACAGGGGGAGCTGCCACTTCACCACCCACTTGTGACACTGAGTCCTTTAATGGAGTACTTCCTCATTCTTCCACACACTGCTGGAAGGTTTTTATGGTGTCATAAATTAGTTAAATTAGCCTCCCTGCATAAAGCGGTACCTAAATTTCCTACTTGACAGACGCAACTGTCTTTTGGTCTGCATAGGTCAACAGCAAGCTAGACTATTAATGGTCGGGAACTTACTCCGACCCGGGTTAACTCCAAACTCATGACTTCTCAGTCAGTAGTGGTTTAATGCAGCTGGCTACTAACTA